AACATATCCAAAATCTGGAGGTGGCACAAAAAAATAAGTTGTAGAAAATCATCGACAAAGTCGGATGACACAGATGCGCGTAATATAATCTTATATAATTAACTTCCTATATCCATGTAATTTTTCAAACAAAGCCTTATAAATAAAAAACTACACGGTAGAATTTTTTTAAACTTGACCAGAATATAGATAATTATATTGTCTATAACATATCGAAAATCTGGAGGTGGCAAAAAAAATAAGTTGTAGAAAATCATCGACAAAGTCGGATGACACGAATGCGCGTAATATAATCTTGCATATTTAAGTTAAGAATTCCGGTTCTTTAACAAACAAAGCCTTATAAATTCAAAACTACACAGTAGAAATTTTTTAAACATGGCCATATTGTAGATATTCGTATTGTCTATAACATATCCAAAATCTGGAGGTGGCACAAAAAAATAAAAGGAATAATATTCCTTGAGAATGTACTCTGGTATTAACTGTGAAGCTGGCACCACATTCGACAAGCAGCTCTATAGCTAAAAAACTACACGGTAGAATTTTTTTAAACTTGGCCATATTGTAGATATTCTTATTGTTTATAACATATCCAAAATCTGGAGGTGGCACAAAAAAATAAGTTGTAGAAATTCATCGACAAAGTCGGATGACACGAATGCGCGTAATATGATCTTATATAATTACGTTCAGAATTTCAAGTCATTGCTAAACAAAGGCCTGTAAATAAAAAACTGCACGGTAGAATTTTTTAAACTTGGCCATATTATAGATATTCTTATTGTTTATAACATATCCAAAATCTGGAGGTGGCACACAAAAATAAGTTGTAGAAAATCATCGACAAAGTTGGATGACACGAATGCGGGTAATATAATCTTATATAATTAGGTTGAGAATTTCAATAATAAATTTCAATAATAATATACTGAAGCATTATAAACCTGTGAGAATACATTGAGAATACTAAATCATCTATGAATAACTGCATTTCTATTTAGCTACAAGTGACGTGTTAAGAAAGCAAAAACGGGCAAGAGGGTAGTAACTAAAATCTGCCAAAAATCACGTTCAATTCTCTATTAATCATCGAAGAAAAGTAACTTCATATAAGTTCAGAACAAGCAGACAATTTCAAATAATACAAAATAAAGCAAATTCCGAAGAGGGACATCTCGTTTTCTTGATATTCAAGATATTACAAGAGTTTGAAACAGACTTATGAGTCTGATGATGTCTTTGGAATAAAGACGAAATATTACACATTATTTTGTTTCAAACTCTTGTAATATCTTGAATATCAAGAAAACGAGATGTCCCTCTTCGGAATTTGCTTTATTTTGTAAGTTCAGAATGCAAGAGGAACATTTTCAGAAAAATTGAAATTGTTAATCGATATTCTGATCGTGTCAACAACGTAAAAAAATGCGATAGAAAGAAAAACACTGTGGTAAATAATAGCCGATTTCTAATTATAAGATAATAAAGTAAAGTAATTATCTAGTAAGTCTGTAAAAATACAATATAAATAATGCACATGTCTAATTATACCGTGACGTAAAGGTCGTGGATTAAAGTAATATTTGGTCACGACCACTCCAAAAACAAGTCATTTACTTCACTAGATTCACTAAATTTTGAAAAAATTAAAGCGATGAGCAACTAGAACAAATTTTCAAAAAAAATAACCAGCACTGTTACGTTACTGCATAATTAATTTGGTACTAAAAACCAAACAGAGTTTACTACTTTTAAACAATTTAGTAAAAAGTGAATTGTATTAATAATTTTTTGTTCGCTCTCTAGATTTTGGATATATTTAAAAAAATTCTACCGTGTAGTTTTTTATTTATAGGCCTTTGTTTGAAAAATTACATAGATATAGGAAGTTAATTATATAAGATTATATTACGCGCATTCGTGTCATCCGACTTTGTCGATGATTTTCTACAACTTATTTTTTTGTGCCACCTCCAGATTTTGGATATGTTATAGACAATAAGAATATCTACAATATGGGCAAGTTTAAAAAAATTCTACCGTGTAGTTTTTTATTTACAAGCCTTTATTTAGCAATGACTTGAAATTCTCAACCTAATTATATAAGATCATATTATGCGCATTCGTGTCATCCGACTTTGTCGATGATTTTCTACAACTTATTTTCTTGTGCCACCTCCAGATTTTGGATATGTTATAGACAATAAGAATATCTACAATATGGCCAAGTTTAAAAAATTCTACCGTGTAGTTATTTATTTATAGGCCTTTGTTTGAAAAATTACATGGATATAGGAAGTTAATTATATAAGATTTTTTTACGCGAATTCGTGTCATCTAATTATGTCGATAATTTTCTATCATTTATTTTTTTGTGCCACCTCCAGATTTTGGATATGTTATAGACAATACGAATATCTACAATATGGCCATGTTTAAAAAATTTCTACCGTGTAGTTTTGAATTTATAAGGCTTTGTTTGTTAAAGAACCGGAATTCTTAACTTAAATATGCAAGATTATATTACGCGAATTCGTGTCATCTAATTATGTCGATGATTTTCTATCATTTATTTTTTTGTGCCACCTCCAGATTTTCGATATGTTATAGACAATAAGAATATCTACAATATGGCTAAGTTTAAAAAATTCTACCGTGTAGTTTTTTAGCTATAGAGCTGTTTGTCGAATGTGGTGCCAACTTCACAGTTAATACCAGAGTACATTCTCAAGGAATATTATTCCTTTTATTTTTTTGTGCCACCTCCAGATTTTGGATATGTTATAGACAATACGAATATCTACAATTTGGCCAAGTTTAAAAAAATTTTCTACCGTGTAGTGTTTTATTTACAGGCCTTTGTTTAGCAATGACTTGAAATTCTGAACGTAATTATATAAGATCATATTACGCGCATTCGTGTCATCTAACTATGTCGATGATTTTCTATCATTTATTTTTTTGTGCCACCTCCACATTTTGGCTATGTTATAGACAATGAGAATATCTACAATATGGCCAAGTTTAGAAAAATTCTACCGTGTAGTTTTTTATTTATAGGCCTTTGTTTGAAAAATTACATGGATATAGGAAGTTAATTATATAAGATTATATTACGCGCATTCGTGTCATCCAACTTTTTCGATGATTTTCTACAACTTATATTTTTGTGCCATCTCCAGATTTTGGATATATTTTAGACAATATAATTATCTATATTCTGGCCAAGTTTAAAAGAATTCTACCGTGTAGTTTTTAAATTATAGGCTAATTAAGAGTAATGGAAAGTACACTGTAATATAAATCTTAGTGTTTTCTTCAATTTCTTGACTTTTATACATTTTTTGTGATGGTTAAGGACAGTAAAATAGTAATAAACAGTTAAGAATTGTTTTTTACTGTTGTATTTGATGGAAAACGTGTTTTAAAGACGATTTTTCGATTTATCATTTTGAATGATAAATTTTAGTTGAATGTGGTGATGAATGTTGTGATGAATGTTGTGTTGAGTGTGGTGCCCAATGTGGTGCCAATTTCACGGTAGTTGCTACGAACTTGTCCATTTTCAAAACTGCTGTTCCCTGAAAGCCAAATTGAAAGATCAGGACCCAATGATGTCCCTGTTAGGTAAGAATTTACATGTATTGGGGTATTAATTTATATTTTTATTTACGTTTGACATCTTGGCCTGAAATATATGATCAATCCGTTAATTTTCAGCTATTCATATTTAGTGTATCATGTAAAATATATGTCTAAAGCTGTCATTATTTTGCATACTCAGTCTGTCTAATGTACGGCCTAAATAATTTTAATTGTTACTGTCTGTTAAAAAAAATGTTTTACTTCAATATTAGTCAAAGCTAGTCCTTTTTAAAATTTAACCCAATCAATAATGTATTATCCTTGTATTCCTGGCATTTTATGTTATCCCCTGGTTAAAGAAACTAACATATCATTTTGAATAACTGTTACTTTCTTTCGCGGGTTATATAGAATATTGATGCTATAGTAGATGGAATCAATAAGTCGTCTGAATCCTGTTTGACATACCTAGACTAGTTCCAAATCTTAGACTACCTGCCTGTGACTTTGACTTTATCATGATGTTACCAAATTAACACAAAGACAAAATAACTTTCTCAATTTCAATATTATTAGTCTATATTTAACACTATTTGTTACCCTTATTTATTCTAATGTCAGAGTCAGTCTAGCAGATTTGTTTCCAGGTATAACTTGGTATAACAAAGCAGCCATTGATACTTAAATACTAATTTTTCTTTTAGTACTTTAGCCAATAGGAATTTTCTGTTCAATGCATGTTCTATTGCATTAGTTGGGAATGAGACTCTCTCTATTTACTGTGTTGAAATGTTTGAGAATGCAAAATACTATTCTACCCATCCTCTCATCGAGTCCCAGCATAAAAATGGTGCGTTCACTTCACTTAAAAATGCCTTTGCCATGTGTATATCTGATGCAGCTCTAACCTCTTTAGAAAATGTGAATGAAATTGCAGCAATTTTACAAGAAGCAGTGGAAAGAGCAAATAATTACACCTTTTCACCCTTGATGTGTATGTTTGCTTTGTCCACAGTAATCCAGTGTGCTATTCAGGCATACTACCCAATTACTAATGATGCTGAAGTGAAAGGAAATAGGGATTCGTTGGCTAAAATGTTCAATTGTACAATATATCCAAGAGATTTTGTTGATGGGAGTGCAATTGACTATGTCCATATCTTTTGTTGTGCTGCGATGCCACCTTCTTATTTTGTAGATCAAAAAATCCCATCCACCAAAAACCATTTTGTTACTTTGTTTTTAGAGGACCACCTTTGAACATTGCTTTTATTAATCTTGCCATCTTTACCATTGTTGGATAAACATCTTTGCTGCTGTTAGAAGAAGATCACCTTTGAACATTGCTTTTATTAATCTTGCCATCTTTTCGATTGTTGGATAAACATCTTTGTCGCTGTTGGAAGAAGACCGCCTTTGAACATTGCTTTTATTAGTCTTGCCATCTTTATGGCTGTTACAAAAGGCATCCTCGCTGCTTTTCGAAAAAGACCATTTGATGGGGCAACAAAGATGGGGGATTATTTTTTTGTAGTCTTTTGGTTATTCACTGCAAAAATAACATGCTTCATCTTTCTCTCACTCCTGCGGCAACAATCCTGTGATTACAGAAAGGTACGGAAACTGCGTTGATTTTACATCAGACATCACAAGCTAAGTAAAATTTTTATTCTTCTATCCGAACAGAATAAAAAAAAAAGGCGATATTAGAATTTTTTTTAGATGAGATTATAACTAAAATATTGTTATATTCTACATTAAAAATGCCGGAATTCCTTTTCCAAGAGTCTAGATTTCAAAATTTTCTGGGGGAGCATGCCCCCAGACCCCCCTAGCGTTGGCTCGCGCCGAAGGCGCTCGCTACGTCACAGGGCCACGGTCAGCCCAGAAGCTGGATCCGCCCCTGATGTTTTCAACAATTGAAATGTAAGTTCTTTCATTTTCAGAATTACCCATAATTGTCAAAAGCCTGGAAACTTTAACTAATGGACTCCAGTCAAGCAGTACTCATTCAGTCTCTCCACCTGTCAACACTGATTTACCAAAACACCTGTCCCCTTTATGCCTTAAAAGTTCTTGCGATACAGCTACGATTTAGGAAAATGATAATACTGGCGACGGAGTGGAAAAGATGGTAAGAATAGTGCCTCCTTAGTTAAAATAAAAGTCGTCTATATGCGCAATGCCTCAGCACAGTTCAGTAAAAAAAAGGTGTATATCTATAATGTCAAGCTAATATCATTATACTCAATATTGGAAATTTAAAGATATGAATATAGCTACAGGGTGTATAAAAAAACGGAACAGTTATGAAAACGCTGCTAAAGTTGTAAGTGTGCAAAATTTGCACAAAAAATAGGTTAAAATTGTAAATAAGACTTTATATCTGAAGGTAAGCTTTTGGTGAATAATAGACTTTTTAGAATAAAAATTGTGTTACCTAGAAGCACTGTTGAAGTAGCTTGTACACGTATATAACAAAGCTGAGAAGCAATTGCAACATGGGGCTAAAATATGAGAGTAGTAGTACAAGTTAACAAAGTTTTGGGAATTTTAGGGTATGCATCGAGAAAGCTTACCTTACCTTAATTGCAAGTTATTTTGAATTTTCCCTTTTTAAATTTCACTTTTTATAATTTTTCAATTTTGAATGAATGTGAGCTTGGAAGCCTAGCGTTCGCGTACGCTTTAGCCAAATTTTTCGAAACTTTATTTAAATTAGAAGTTAGCTAAAACAACATCTGCCAAATTTTAAGCAAATGTGTTTCATTTTAAAAGTCGTACTCACACTGTTAATTTCAAGGAGTTGATTTAACTCCAAAAGTAGAGTTGAATAGAAAGGTGGAGAATGACTCCTATTTTGGAGTTAGATTATAATCCAAAATTATAGCTCCGCTTTTGGAGTAAGCATAACTCCAAAAGTGGAGTTAAAATAACTCTTTAAAGTGTTGTTACAATTTCTATGATTGTAACTAAATCATAATCCTATTCATTGCAAATAATTTATTCAAATGTTAGCTTCCTATATAATATATCATCTTAACTAACACTAACCATTGTGCACTAAAGATTGCATTCTGATAATGTCGAAACATGTTTGCGCTCAAAAAATTTGTCGATTTTCTTAAAAGAAAAAAAGATATATTTTTTTCAAATATATTAAAATGTTTGAAAAATATCAAAAAAAACATCTCGAGCGTTGCTCGAAATCCAAATTTTAGCGAAGCGCCACGAGGCCCACGCCATATGAACTTGTTGCCATAACGACAGAATTAATTTAGAGTCATAATTACTCCCGGAGTTAAATGTTACGGTTTAAAATAACTCCATTAATTATACTCTGATTTATGAGTTATTTTAACTCCTTTGGCCGAGTTAAAATTACTCCAAGTGGAGTAAAATCCACTTGGAGGTTGAAACAACTCTAAATTTTTCACTCCATTAAAAGGAGTTATTTTGATCACCCCTTTGGAGTCAAAATAACTCCTTTAAAATGACAGTGCGGGAACACAATTCTTATTCTAAAAATGGTTATTATTTGTGAGAGTTCTACTATCAGATAAACCATTTAAAGTGTAAATATCTATTGTACCAAGGCTTTTTTTGATCTTGCGGATGATTACTTAGTGCGACAATTTCCTAACTGTTCAGTTTTTTTGGTAGCTACACCCGTATAGCAATCAACATATTGGTATTTTTGTGCGTAGTCAGAGACGCCAACTAACAGCACAATTAAGGTTCCTTTTGTTTAAGATAGGCATTCCAAAACAATCCAGAAGATGCTTCTTAACTTCTACTTGATGTCACAAATTTATATTCGATCAACAGGTGGAGAAGCCAACTAGGCAAGCAACTTGGTTGCTGTCTTTCAATTTCTTTTTGCTAGCGGCATTGCAGTTTAAATTTCGACCTGATATGTTTCAGGAAACCATGTTATCATGTTGGAAACTGATGAATTATAGAGTCGTAGTACGTTGTAGACAATATCTTGTTCTTGCTAAATTTTTTCTTTTAACGGAACCTAGAACCTAACTCGTGCATGTGAAGAAAAAATCATAGCTATAGCAAATGGTAAAGGCATTAAATTTAAATGGAAAAAGAATTGACACTCCTTATAATATAAACAATATTTATTCCAAACGTTATTCATTCTATTTAATTTTTTTTAATTTGTAATCTTCGAAATGTCTGCATTTTCTAGTGATGATGATAGCATGTAACATGTAACACTTGTCAAAACGTTTAGAATAAATATTCTTTACTTTATACTGACTGTCAATTGTTTCTTGTTTCAGTAAAACACTTTATGGCAATCGTAATTGAAGGGTAATATAACTTTTTTCAACACTATGCATTTTAAATTTAAGCCTTCTAAATTTTTTATTAGGTAGCACTGGCTCCTGGTATTAAGATTTTGCCTTCGCAGAGGGATCTTTTGACTTTACAAGGAAATCCAAAAAACTACACGTATGCGTTAATGGACATGATTTGGTCCAGAGATGTGTTGGCAACACATTCCCTAACAGGAAAAACGTCCAATGCTCACAAAGATAAAACACCAAAGCCTTCATTGGATGCTTCAAAAGTTGCTGCACTGTGTGGTAAGTAAAGCTTTTAACCTTTATTCTGTTATTTTAAGATGTATAATACAGTTTGTTAATACGGTCAGCCTTGAGGATTTTTTGTGGGATGGCTTTTTGCAAATTGGAAATTAATACAGGTCCTCCAGAAAACTACTACATTTAATAGAACATTTGATGTAGTTGCAAGTAAATTTGAGGTGTTTCAAGACATATACCAAATAACAAATAAAAACTATATGAAACCTTAAATTGTTTCATGGTGTAGTCAAGAAATTAGAGACTATGTACATGATATCACCCGACAGTTTCAAAACAACAAAAAACTAAGTTTGGGGGCGGAAAAGATGAACGCGTCTGCTTACAGAGCTGACAGTTCAATAAAGGTCACTAAAGTAGTAACTACATTTAGAAATCCCCAGGTACCAAGTAGCTACCACATGAGCGGTCAAAGCAGTGCTATACGGTCCCGCTTACTAGCTATAATTTTAGTTTGACATTCCACCAGGTATACTCTATGATTTCTAATTTTTTAAAGCAGATTTCTGTCCATTTTAGATGTAGTTGTAAAAAGATTTCGCTTACCTGACAATAAAATGGTGAAAGGATTCATAAAGGCAAAGCTAAACAACAGCGAAAGATGTAAAAGATTCAAAATAAGTGACAACGTACAAGATAACTGATTCTTTTTTATAATTTTATTTTTGATAGTTAATTTTCATGTTTTTTTCTACTTATACATGCATAAATGTTATTTGTATTATTGGTAATTTTTGCAATTTTTTAACGTATGCAAGTTTTAAAATTTTTAAGTTCTATTAAATTATTTGAGTTTTCTGTATTATATTTAACGGGCAACTACTGTAATGTGTCCGTTTTTTATGACTTGTCAATCCTATGATCCTGTAAGAATTTATAGTCTTTTAGAGAGTCTTATAGAAACTTGTGGGGCAAATTTATGTCATATAAAATCATATAGAATTCCCTATGTATGTTTTAAGAACTCCCGGGGACAATTGGATTATGTAGCAATTCACGTGGGATTTTATAAAAAATCCGATTAGATTCTGTTGTAATCTGTAAGCAATAGTTTAGCCTCTTTACAAAGTCTTTTAAGAGTTTTGTGGGAATTTTCGCAGGAGATCTTGTTGGGATTCTTATAGGAATTCTTGCAGGATGTCGTATTGCAGTTGTTGTAAGAATTTGTATAGGAATGCTTGTAGGAATTCCAATAGGATTCCTTTGTAAGAATTCTTATAGGAATTGTTATACGAATTCTTATATGAATTCCTATAGGTTCCTACAGCATGCTATACGTTGTTCCTATATGCTCATGGGCCAATTTCCAATAGAATCCTGTAGAAAGTTTTAATAGGAATTCCTATTAATAATTTTCGTAAGGGTGGGCATTTCGCGAAGCAAAGAACCATACCAACTACTTCTAACTGCAAGCAGTTCTCCTGGCATTCCAAGCGTTTCTCAAAAAAGAAAACCAAACACCACAACATTTGAAGTTGTTGATAAACAACATGACAGCTGTGGCGTACATCAACAGAAAGAGCGGCACACGGTTAGCTCAGCTAGCACATCTAGCCATGGAAATTTGGATATATTATCATTCTGGCAACATTTTGATAACATCAAAGCTCTTCCGGGGTCGATGAACGTGAAAGCAGATTCCCACAACTTCAACAACCACACCGAATTGATGTTGAAGTCCAGTGTATTTCGGAAAATAGCAACCCAATATTACACACCACAAGTGGTAGTGCAATCAATTACCCAATTACATAGCACGTCACCCCGATCCTGTGGCAATGGTAACTAACGCTTTATCCTTAGTTTGGAACAAGTGGACAGTTTTAATTCATCCACCAATTGTTCTGATCCCAAGGATTTTACTGAAAATGAAACGTAAACCTTTCCGTAAATTGATTGCACGTAAATTGATTGCACTTACCACAAGTGGTAGTGCAATCAATTACCCAATTACATAGCACGTCACCCCGATCCTGTGGCAATGGTAACTAACGCTTTATCCTTCGTTTAGAACAAGTGGACAGTTTTAATTCATCCACCAATTGTTCTGATCGCAAGGATTTTACTGAAAATGAAACGTGACAAAGCAACAAGACTACTGATTGCACCAAACTGGCAGAGCCAACCCTGGTTTCCAATGATACTGGAAATGTTAGTAAACTTTCCAGGAAGGTCGCCAGTTCTACCATCAACAATCTCACTTCTATTTACACTGGAGTAGTCGCACCTACTTTGGAAAAGTTTCCAGTTAACGGAATCGCCGATTTCATGAATCGTCTCAAAACAGCGAGAATTTTGGAGAGATGTGCAAAATTCTTATGGCATCATGGCAAGGATCTACATGAAAAAGATATGAGGGGAAATGGAAAGTATGGTCAGGTTATTGTCTCCAACTACAGAAGTGTCCCTTTTCAGCGCCTTTCAAAGATATTCTCACATTCATAACAAAAAATTCCATTATCGAAAATTGGCATAACGAAGAATAGGTGTTTATAAAGTGCATTTTTCTACTACACGATCCAATCGAAGGAAAAAAACTTGGACATACCCTTATACATCTGCACCAGTATTGCAAGTATCAGTCGGAGAAGGTACGAAGGAGAAATAAAATTTCCCAGGAGGGTTCTTACGTGAAAGAGAGATGTAGTTCTCCGAGGACCTTCGAAGACTGATAAAAGCAATACTGGTACCCCTACCTACAAAGGTGGTCATGTATACACCCATCCCGATTACTGAAAATCTTCGCCTCAGAAACTACTCAATAAGACGAATAACGTGCGCATGTAAGAAAATGTTATAGTTGGTTCCAGACTGCTGACGGCCGCCGATCTGCACCAGAATTACTCCTATCAATCCTCGAAGGTCCTCGGAGAATTAAATCTCCCCTTCAGGTAAGAACCCTCCGGGGAAAATATATCTCCTTTGAAATTTAATTAATTCATTGTTTTCTACCGATTATAACATGTATGTATTTATATGAGCCCCTAAATTATCGATAATACTTTCTTTTTGATATGCAGTGGCGTATCTAGCGAAAAATTTTTGGTCACGCTATTGTATGCATTTCCGCGCTCTATGACGTCATGATTTTCTATCATACGTATAGTAAGACATAAGTACTTTATTGAACTCTAAAACTCTAATGTACAAATTTTTAAGTACAAGCAAACAACATAAAAGTTTCCAACAAATAAAAATAATAATTACTGTCTCAGATTAAGATCTCAACGTCATCATTTTAGTGGCCATGACTTTACATGCAGCTATTAAGTTCACTCATACTGAACTTAAGACAACTTTTAGTTTTTTGACTGTACACAGAGTAATGAGTATATCGTTCATGTTAAAAGAGAAATATCAGTATTAGCATAACTGACCTCAAAACTTTTAAATTCACAATAAAGACGTAAAATAATAATACGAACACAGATTCTCTGATATACATGTGCATGTCTAGTATGAAGCAAAATTCAGTTGTTGAACAGTAACAATATTCTATCATCACATCCTTCTGGAGTTTAAAATCAAAACAATTATAAATCTTTAAAAATTTTCAAATCTTTAAAAATAACACTTGAGCTATATATTTATAATTGTGCATTACGAGGAGTGGGAAACTTAGCCAAAATACCGTGATAATTAACATTGCCTTTTTATTTTCTTATAAAAGGAAAAGAAGCACAAATGGCTTGCAAAATACCTTGATAGGTGAGCTAAAAATCAGACCTTGCGTTAAGGGGCGCTATCCATAGCGCGTCATTTTACGATTTCTTCTATAAAAGAGCGAAACCGTCGTGACAAATATCAAATTACTGAATTACATCCATTTGCAGATATAGTTGTGAAATTTTTTAATTGAATGACGAAATAATGCATTAATGAAAACTATTAGTAAGAAATAGCTGTAGATGCACTTGTGTAAGGAACTGTCTATTCAATAATACAAAATTCACGTCTGCCTTTACGTGAAAATACGATCTTTGGCCGACTTTGGCCAGCACTTGACTTTGACCTAACAAGGGTGTGAATTTTTCCAAAGTATTTTATACAACAGAGAAACGATCGTCAGTATATCTGTCAACACAATATCGGCGCAAGCAACGTTTTTAAAAATTTCCTTTTTTAACAAATGGCGAGTATTTATAGTGAATATAAGCTATATGAATAAATAGTTAAGCACATACTGTAGTCCAAGGTGAATTATCTATAGAGTGAAAACAAAGTCCTTTTTACTTATACTTTGAGGATATTTAAGAAACTTTAAGCGTCGCGCGCGACTCAAATTTTGCGCACGTGATCAATCACTCGCGCTCAATTTTCTTACAGCAAGGACTGCAAAAAACTCAGCTTTATACGACAAATCCAGTCTGTGAGCTAAGCGGGAAATATAAAAGTCAAATGATGTTTTGTTTACAACAATGCTATAGCACCGTTGAAATGAGCAGACATAGTAAAGACAACATTATAAGTTTTTACACTGATATAGCAACTTAGTTCTTTCTGTCAAAACTAACATGCACAAACCGAAGCAGTCTTTTTTCAGAGTCAATCTTTCTTCGCAAGAAATGATAGCAACTGCAAGAAGTTCTAGCTAGTATAGAACTATACTATGTATCACCGATATATTTGGGCTTTAAAGAATTCATTGTTTGTCAGCTTGCAGAATGGAGAAAAGATAGTCTTTCATGAAGCCATAGCTATTAAATTGCATATATAATATCGTTTTCATATTGCATATATAATATCGTTTTCATATTGAAAGATGGTGGTTGAGGTATTATAAAATACCCTGTTCCCAGGGCTCGCGTGGATGAAGAAGAGCTTGCCATGCTTTGTAGGATTCTCGGCCTTATTTCTGTAGGCGAAGCTTTAGTTGACATAAATAGATAGAAGATCTTCATCTGATGCTCTCTTTCTTCTTTTGTTCTGTCATTTTCAAGCTGGGCCCATTTCAACTACTTCTCGTTTGTGCCTTTGTTCCTACTTTTTCATTGTAGCTGCAAAGTAAAGCGGTAAGGTAAAAATTGTACATATATGTCATAGAAATAAATAGTGCAAAACTCAATTTGAATTATGGTAATGAATTAGCTTTGAATTGTGCAGTAGTACAAGAATCCAAATCATTACCAATCCATTTCTCTCTTGGCAGTCTTTCCAAACATTTCGCACATTATTTCGATTCTCTTTTCGAATCTGCTCTTCCTTTTTTTGACAGCTTTTCTCTTGGGGAAATATTTTACTCTTTTTTTTATCGGAATCTAAATGAAGCGAGTTTCTTTAATTTTAAATTATTCATATGCCTCTTTTATGAGAATATGCATGACACCAGAGTTAATAAAATAAGGCGGATAATCCGTAAAATTTACCTGTAGGAGTGTCCAACTACATTTGTTTATCTTCTTTTTCTAAATACTATATCGTTTGTTAGAAAATCTTCAATTTTATTATATCACAAAAAATTCACTAGATTATTAGTCTTTTCCATTAGTGAATAACAGCTAATTAGTCTTGGTGATATTTACCTGACGACAAAGTTACTTCGTCTTAGTTAAGTGTAAAAGCTTCTTAAACGTAAAATTTAAACGTTTTTTATCTATTTTTAAAATTCAGGTTAAAGAACAAAAATAGTTTTAGTTGGGCATTACTATGATAGCTGGGTGATAGCTTCCACTCATTCCCAAGGAGATGCTCTTTATTTGCATGCTCTTTCAATACATCAATTGATTCAATTATTTTTTACGTTTATTTAACAGCTATCACTTTTTATTTCCGAATCCATTCATTGAGCCAACCATTTTCATATAATACATCT